GGGAGTCTGGGGGCCCCCGCATACTGGAGGGAGGGGCTGGCGGGCTCCAGGGAGGACAATAGAAGCCCCTCTTGGCTCTCGGACCCCGCCCAGGCTGCCCTCTCGGGTCCCACCGCCGCGGCAGCCCCACCCCGCGGCTTTGCAAGGACAGTCTTTCTTCCCTACACCCGTTCAGGGACCAGCCCCATGTTCCCACCCCAAAGACCGAGATGGACGCCTCTCAGCTCCCTGTCTTGTGGCATGAAGGGACAAACGAGGTACTCTAGCAGGGGTGGGGCAGGCAGGAAGATGCTGCAGCAGGCACCCAGCCCTCCAGAAGAAAGCATGGGGCAGGGCTCAGAAACGCCGAGTCAGAAGGAGGGTGTCTTACAACGGCAGCTCTGAGCTTCACGGTCCTTCTCTGCAGTGGGGGATGCCAGGTACCTGCCCCTCCTCCCTCGGGGGGCTGCCATGAGATTCCAAATGGACCTGGTACATGGGGATGCTTTGTACCCCTGCCAGGTACAGTGCCTGGTACGTAGCTGCTGCTCAGTGAATACTGGTGTCAGGCATTATCAAAAGGACACAAGCCAGGCGAGGGACTGACAGGGTGGGGAATGGTGGGCTGTGACTTCTGTCTGATTCACGTCCTGGTGTCACCCGGACTCCTGGACTCTTGGTCCACGTGAGGCCAACACAACATGGTGGTAGGGGCCATGTAGTGAGACAGTGTGCGCCTAAGGCAGAGCTGGGGGATTCTTGGGAGGCAAACGGGGAAAGAGGGTCCACTGGTCAGAAGAGAAAGGAGGGTATGAAGTGGACATGCAGTACAGACATTATATTACACATACAGAATGCCACTGGGCTCAGACACTGTAGTGAAACCACCTTGTAATAAGGTCTTCTGAATCTTCCAGGAAGGGTCTCGGTCACAGTGCGTGGAGGTCCCACAAGCCGTCGGCTGAACAGGTCTGTGGTGTGCCTGTGTGTAGCTGCACTCAAGAGTGCACTGACAGGGTGTGTCTGCGCATAGCCCCTCTTCCCCCCCACCCTGAAGCTCTCCAGTTGGCTAGTCTAGAAATGGGTCTTTTGTTCTCAAGAGACACCCCTCCCCCACAGTGTGTCCGTGATGTGGCTTTCGGTGGTTGGCTTCCGGCTGCCTGGGGCCCCTCCCTGTCCCCATTCAGGGGGTCCTTGGTGAGCGTTTGGCTCTTCCCCGGAGCTGGCTGCACCTCCCCGACTGAGCAAAGGAAGGAGCTTTGCAGCATCCCGTTGACCAAGACCCGTTACCCGCACGCCCTGCCTCCCCGCGTGATGGCGTCGGGCCAGGCCCGCTCTCCCTCCCTCCCCAGAGGGCTCTGGTGCCAGGTTCAAGGCTGACTCACCGTCCTGTCCCCCTGCAAAGGCTAGCCCTGCCGGGAACCAGCTCCTGGCCTTGAGGCTAGCAGTCTGGGCTGAAGCTGCCAGCATGGGTGGGGACTGGCTGGGGCAGAGTTGGGGGTGGCTGGCCAGTGGCTGCCGAAAACTTTAGGCATTACTAGACCTGCCTTCAAATTGGCTGATACCATCACCCTTGCCGCCGCCGAGCCTGTATCAGGAAGGGGGTCGACTGTATGCTCACTATCTGTGGAGGAAACCAGGTGGGCTCTTCAGTGAGAAACTCAGGTTTGCAACCGAGGGGGGGTCCCAAGGGCTCCCCGGCACCAGCAGCAGGGCTCACCCCAGATGTCCACTCCTTCGGGGCTTGGGCAGTCCCTGGACAGCCCCACTCCATTCTGGGAGGCCTTGCCTCAAATACTTCCCAGGAGGGCAGTCCTGGGGGAGAGCAGGCCCCACCCCCCAGCACACTCTGCACTGTGGGCAGACATGGAGGAGGGGCGGCATGACTGGGCCGTGAGAGGGATGTGTTCAGGCTGAGGTCACATATGGGTCATGGTGGTCCTGCTCCTGCTGCAGCTAAGGGCACCCTGGACTGTGCCGAGTCGGGTCCCCATGGAGGTCACTGGGGCGGGGCAGCTGCTGTTTCTCACTCTAGGTGCTCTGAGCTGGGGTTTACACCACGAGGAGAAAGCGAAGACACGGGCCCAGAGCAGGTGTCATTGGGGCCCCCACAGTCGCCTTGGGCAGCGCCTCGGGCACTCTGGGTCCTTTGGGGCTGTGGGTTCTTCACCCGGGCCTGCCAGCCATGGTTTCTGGCTGGTTTCTGGGATTCGCTTCTCCCTGTCCATCACCCTCAACCCCACCCTTGCCCCTCCCCCTTCCTCCTCCCTCCAGGCTCGAGCAATTTCCAGAAGGAGGCAAGGCGGGCAGCGATGAGTCTGCACCAAGCACAGCATTTATTACCAGAATGCTTCCCAGCCCTGACACCCTGGATGCCGGCCTCTGATTCCGGCCGACAGCCTCTGCGCCGGCCCGGGCAGGCACTGGCTGGCCCTGTCTGCCGGGTACGTGCTGCACACACGGATGGGCCCCCAGCTCTCTGGTCACCACTGAGCCTTAGACCAGCGCCCCCCTCCACCGTAGCCCCAGGAGACGTGGTCCCTCTGCCTGAAACAGAAGCTCACTGCTTCCTGGAGCGGTCCTGGAAGGCCAGGTCTTGCTGGTCACAAAGCTCCTCTTCCTGAGGCCCTCCTAGGGAGCTGTACTTGTCACGCTCCTAACACAGAGACTTCACATCCCAACAGGCAGGGGCACAAATCCCCAGACCCGGCAGCAGAGGTGGGTGTGTGCACAGCTTGCCAGGGCCCTGGGTGGAGGCGTAGCTCTCCAGGAGTGGGCAGAGATGCTGCCCAGAAGCCCGGCACCTGCCCCTCGTGCCTGTGGCCCCAGCATCTCCCCAGCCTCCCGCACCCTCCACGGCAACTCCTGGAGATGGGTGCTTCTTCCCTTCTCCGGCCCCAGAGGGTCCATGCATCCACACCTCCGGAGATCATCTCGTCTGTCCCTTTTGGCAAGCGACTGCCCTGCTCCACAGGCCACATGGCATCACCAGCTCCCTCTGCCCAGCACCGTGGCCTCGAGCCTGCAGCCTCACCAGGAGCACAGCACTACCTCTTGGAGGGTCTTTCGGAGCTCCTGGCTGCGGAAGGCGTAGATGAGGGGGTCAACGATGGAGTTGCAGATGATGAGGGTGAGGAAGAGGTTGAAGTTCTTGAAGACGCAGCCACAGGCGGGGTGTTGAGGGCAGAGGACCATGAGTGACAGGTGCAGGAAGAAGGGGCCCCAGCAGAGAAAGAAAATGCCCAGCAGGATGGTGAGCGTGGCGGCGCCCTTGAGGCCGAAGCCCTGGTGGGCAGGGCGCTGCCTCCTATGGAGCCGGGTAATGCCTCGGGCATGCTGGCAGGCCCGGGCGAGCATGTGGACATACAGCACGGCCATGAGCACCAGCATGGCTACAAAGAAGCCGACGAGACAAAGCAGCACGGCTGTGTGGTTGTAGTAGGCAATGAAGAGCGTGCTGGAGAGGACGCTCGCCACCCAGATCGTGGAGATGGCCCAGCAGGCGCGGGGCAGTGTGACGATGCTGTGGTACCGCAGTGCGTAGAAGATGGAGACGTAGCGGTCCACGGCGATGGCGCCCAGGAAGCAGAGACTGGACACCATCGCACTGCAGACGAGCACGTCTATGACGTCGTCCAGCTGCTGCACCACGGCCGCCCGGGCGTCCAGGGCGCCGGCCTCCAGCAGCAGCATGACCGCTGTCTCCAGCACATTGCTCACGCTCACCAGCAGGTCGGACACAGCCAGGCAGCAGATGAAGTAATACATGGGCGAGTGCAGGTTGCGGTTCTTGGCGATGGCGGCCACCACCAGCACGTTCTCCACCACGCTCACCAGCCCCAGGCTGAGGAAGAGCCCGTCAGGAACGGACACCTCCAGGCACCGGGGCCCCGTCTGGTTGGCAGCCAGCCTCAGGTGAGGGGTGGCTGGGGGGGTGCAGTTGAAGGAGCCCAGCAGCCTCCTCTGGGGACCCGGCATAGACATAGTCCCACCAGGGAGCAGGAAGGGGCCCTCAATCTCAGGCGTCCCGCTCAGCTCACGATGCCACCAGCGGGGCTCGTGTCCCCCGGACCGCCTTCACATTCACCCTGTCAGTCAGCTCAGCCATGACCCAGCTGAAGAGACCCCAGCTTCCCGGCACAGTGGCTGCTTCCCAGCCAGGACCCCAAGCTCCCTTGCACCAACCCTGTAGTCTCTCCGGACCCCAGACCCTCAGCCCACCTCCGCACCTCTTCCGGAGAGATGCCGTTGCTCAGGTCCAGACACGCATTTCTATGCCGCTTGCAGCCTCGTGGCTGGCCAGGCCGCCTGCGTCTCCAGGCCTGGGGTGGGCTGAGGTCCCAGGAAGAATGAAGCTTTAAAGTCCCCGGAGCCCCTCCTCCTGAGGGTGGCCACATGATGGGCGTGCACCCTGGACGCACGATCAGAGAGCACCCCGCACGGCACCCCAGCCGGCCTTCCTCTGGGCAGCACAAACAACAGCCAGGGCTGCCCTGGCCCCAAGGACACCTGACTCAGGCTCAGCAGGGCGTCTCCCCTCTCACCTGTGTTCAGCCAACCAGCGCTCCCAGCCTGGCCCCACTCCCAGGGTCTGCCGTGTGGGGGCCTCCTCTAAATCTGCTCCAGGCCCCCTGCAAACACCACCTCCTCCTTGGAGCCGTCTCTGATCTCTGGCCACCCACCTGATGCCACTCTGCCTTGGAAACAGTCGTTGGCTGTTGACCATGCACCCCCAGCCTGAACCCCTAGCTCCCTACCCCATGTTAGATGCTCGCTAAGGGCAGCCTCTGCCCCCTAGGACGCCCAGCCCCCTCATGGAGCCCTGTGGGAGGGCATCCCGGTCACACCAGGCTCTTGCTCTGCCTCATCCTCCGTGGGGGGAGGGGCAGGGACAGAGCTGACAGCCCCCACTTCCTCTACAGAGAAACCACTTCAAGGGCAGACCTCTGTCTCCAGCCACATGGTGCTCGGCCAAGAATGGCCTCGCTCCAGGGTGCTCCCAGCACTTTCCCGCTGAAGACTCCAGTTCCTCCTCTAGAGAGCAGAGGTGGGAGGAGAACAGAATGGTTTGCGGACAGGGGAGACAACCTGAGGCAACGAGAAAGGTAAGGGCCTTGTTCAGTGGTGGCAGCAGGGCTGGGAGGGAGCTGGGAGGGGGGGGTCTCAGTGTTGAGTGTTACCTGTGACACTCCTGTTCAAGCCCACTTTCTCTCCCCCACCCGAGTGCCAGGCGGCCCACGTGTCATCACACGTTCGTGCCCACTTACAAATATTAACCACCCCTTCCATCTGCCTCACCCACTGGCAAGCTGCTCCCCCTTTCGATTGTGCTTTTTATTGAAGACCAGCATACGTGAGAGTACACAAGCTGTAAACCTGCGGGTTCGTGGATGCACCAACCTAAACACAGCCAGGAAGGCAGCACCCAGACCAATCACAAAAACGTTACTTGCCCCAGAACAGCCAGGGCGTCCGCCTGCCCTGGGAGCCACTCCCTGACATCCTCGTGGCTGTGAGTAGCAGTCTAATGCACAGACCCCACTGGGCATCTCCCGTCTTGTTACAAACAGTACCTGCTGGGTGTTCTGGCCCCATCTTTTGGTGGACATAGGCCACGTGTTTGCACAAGGCGACACGTGGGGGTGGACCTGTTGGCCTGCTGCTGGCAGGGCTCGAGGACCCCAGCCCCCGCCTCCCCACGGAGAACACGAGAAGACAGCCCCACACCCCACAGGCACTGGGCACAGGACGGGCCCACACGCCGAGCTCCCCGCCCTAGGACTTCACACCTCCCATTCTCTCCTCCTCATGGAGAACCCTGAAGGGAGCAGGGCCTCCCAGGACCACAGGGTGGTGCCACGGCCAGTGAGGGTGGTCCCAGCAGCAGCGAGGGGCTGTGCAGGCCCGCGGCCGTGAGGCCCCAGCTCTGTCCCTGCCACACGGGTCCCAGGACTCACACTGCAGCCGTCCCTCACCAAGGACCACCTTCCACCTCTGGGGGCCCCAACTGCGAGTCTGCTGCCTTGCCCCCTGCTTCTGTCAGCACATCGCAGGGAAGTCAGCATCTCCAGCTCCATAAAGAGGCCTTTGAGAAGGACATGCTCCCCCCGCCTGAGACTTCAAAGAGCATGAGAACTGGACAGCCTCTGGCAGGCAACCAGTCCTCTTCCGGGTGAGGCCTCGAGACTCCCCATCTGGTTCTGATGTGCCCGTTGGGGACTTCATGGGACGGAGACTCTCAACTTTGTGATTAGTTATGGTTATGAGGGAAACGTCTAAATGAAATCACAGATAATCTTAAGGCCAATGGTATCAACTCGATCTCTAGTGCCCCTGGGAGAAACTGAGGAATGGCCAGGAGATAGGTGGTGGACACAACTGTCCCCTCAGAGCACGTACCAACCTGAGACGGCGGGCTGGACCCACATGTGAGGCTGTGAGAACAGGAGCCCAGTTGTGGGGTCCCCAGCACCAAGAACAGTGCCAGGCACACACTTGGCCCGCAACACGTGAGCGTTTGATGCACCAGTGAGCTTCATGGGGGGGGGAGCTGGTGTGGACACAGCCCCTCACTGCAGAGTCCAGTGAGATACAGTGTCCGACCATGGCCACACCAGGAGGTGGGGGTCACGGCCTGACCAGAAGGCCAAGGCCCCGCTTCCTTCACGGAGCTCCCCCACCCTGGGGGCCAGCCAGGAGACAGCCCCACGAGCGGCCATGTGGGGCGTGCAGCCTGCTCCTCCTGGCTCGTGGCCTGGCCGACAGCTGGGTCATGATGAGGTCTCTGGACTCGGAGAGAGGAACACCCTGTTTGCTCACCCTGTGGTGTCTGTGCTACCCTGAGGTAGAGTGCGACTTGATAGAGTGCATAACCCATTAGCAATCTGACCACGGGCAGCAGGCGGCTGGGAGGAGCCCATTCACCCTTGCCTGGACCCTGGGGGGCAGAGCAAGCCTCTAGAGCAGATGTTTAGATGTGAGAGAGCTGGCTGTCTTCTCATCTCCACGGAAACTCAGAGCTTCAAGTAATGACCTAAACCCGAGCAGTTTGGCTGAACACTGATGATTTAATCATCTCTCGGGACAGCAGGCCCAGAAGGAAGCTTTCACCCTGGTCTGGGCCCAGCCTCGCTCTACCTTGCTATCTCTAGAACACTGGCTCTATTTTGAAGGTCACCAACTCCTAGTTGTAAAACGACTGCTGCAGCTCCGGACAGCGCATCCCCATCCAGATGTACTTAAGGCTGGAAGAGGCAGGGTGCCAAGCTCTCCCTGCCTGTCATCATGAGAGAACGAACCCCTTCCTGGAGGAACCCAGCAGACCCCTGGTCCTGTTGGCTGAAGCGTATCGCAGGACACCCTCATGGGAGAAATGTGGATCCAGGACAGCCTGGGACTATTTCAATCGTCCTCGATCCCACCCACCAAATCCAGTTACGGTGACATGGGATGAAGTACGGGTAGTAACTGACGGACATCAACATGTCTGCAGGGCGCTGTCCTTCCATGGGTGTTCAAAGCAGAGGCTTTTGTTGACCCCCAAATGCTGGGAGCTCCCAGCAGGATAAGCTCACAGATCTCCCCAAAAGGTGACTGCACATCAATGTCTAGAACACTGTGCGGGACTTCCTGAGAGGCCCAGCCAACACTGATCCTGGCCCAGAGCGTGTGAGCAGCACCTCCTCCCACCCCCGTCTGCTACTTACAGGAGTGGAGGTCAGGGCCGGGAGGGGGCCCAACAGACTGGCAGCTCCCAACCTCAGTGTCCTTGACCCTTCCAGAGTGACAGGCAGCCCTGTGTGGTGCTGAGCTGTGGAGCAGGCCAGGACTTGCCCCAGGTGATGAGCTCTCCCCCATGCTCTGTTGACCTCCCCTCCCCCGCAATCAAATGCCCCCTCATCTCTGCCACATACAATCTCCAGAGCTGCCAGGACATCCTTCCCAAGGTGTACCTCTCGGCCTCCTTCCCGCTCAGGGCTGCCCTGAAGCTTCCCCATAAAACCACTATGATTCTGCATCAGCGGTGCCCAGCCCAAGAACTCTGGTGTCAGCACCTCTTGTCCCTGGCCGGCCTGTCCCAGGTTCCCAATGGAGGCACACACCTTGGTGTTCTCAGCACGGATGCTGCACCGAAGACCTGTGGGACCTTCTCCACTCTGTGCCCCACACTGTGGAGGGCAGGGTGGCCATGGAGAGAGCTCACAGGGGGCTGGGGCTTGGCTGTGTGTGATCCTGGGTCATGTTCTCTCCTGGGACACCTCGGGGTCTGTGCAGATCCGGGACCCACCTGCCTCAGATTCCAGCCCCGGGAAAGAAGAGCTCACGCTACACAGAGCGTAACCCATTCACATTTATAGGAGACACAAAGGTGGCAGGCGGACGACACATCAGCATTTCTACTCCAGGGAACTGGCCAATTCCGACCAGAAGAGCAATCAGAAACATAATTGTACAGCGTTGGGGCACGGCATGGACGCGGGCTCAGTCCCACTCCCCGTCCCCCTCGGGGTTGTCCTCGCGAGCTGCCTCCACGTCGTGGAAGTGGAAGTTGGCCATCATGTCTCGCACGGCCAGCATCAGCCTGTTCAAGCCTTGATTGCGGTTCAGACCCCCAGCCCCTCCATCCTCCATCCTCTCCCCCTGCAGCAATGAGACTTGTCTGAGCAGGGCTGTCCTGGGCCCTGAGGCCCAGCGCGCCCAACCCAGCTTGCCCAGGACCCTGCCGGGAAAAGGGAGCTCCTCAACCCAAACACGTTTGACGAACAAGGCCAGGCCCCAGCGGGAGGTCAAGGAGCCACGCTGAGTTGAGGGGCCAAGGTGGCGGCTACGGTCTCAGGTGGGCACGTCCCGGTCTCCTGAGCAGGTTGGCTGCGGGCGCCAGTAAAGCCTCTAGACGCGCACAACCCCACGGCCCGGCCTGAACCCACGTGGCAGAGAGAGGCCAAGACATGCTCACATACCTCCATGGTATAATTGGGCAACAAAGACCGGAAGAAGAGCGCAATTGTGTTTCCATGGCTGACAGGACTCAGCCTGAAAGAGGAAAGAAGGTCAGATGGTGCAGCTGTGTACCCTGCCCTGGGGTCGGGGGGAAGACAGCCCATGCGGTAGCTGGGGCACATGCTCAGGCCTCACAGGGAAGGGTGTCCGGGGGGGGGCAGGCCCTTGGGGACCTGGCTGGTTGAGCTGAGCAGTGTGTGGAGGGTCGCCTGCCACGGCTCGGGTGGCTCGCTTTTAAGAAACGCCGCGCAGGGGATACAAAGTGGTCATGTGAAGAGAAGGTTCTAGGGTGTGCTGGGGAGTGCCCTCCTGGTAAGACATGGTGCTGGAGCCCAGCTCCACTGGACATTTAAGGACTGATGGCCTCAGGTCGGCACAGCCCTTCAATCACTCCTCAGGGCTACAATGTCCAGCAAGACAGCTTTTCTTCTGAACCTACCAACATTACAAATGCCTAAGTATCACCTTAATCAATCTGAGAATTTAAGTGGGCACTATTTCCCTAGAAGCATGCAATCTAACTTTTAGAAAAATTCCTTTATCCTACATAATGCGCTCTACCTCTACTGAGGTCTGGAAAGAACACGCTTTCTGAAATGGGAAAGTCTGTCACTCCAGATCTACAAGGTTGTGCCGACAGCCTCGTGGTAAGGCAGTCACTCAGCTTGAAAGGCTAGAAGGAAAGAAAAAGGCAGCTTTCCCGCAATCCAAGGCTAAACGCAGTCCACAAATCCACTGCAGACTTGGGCTAGCTGCACCCTCACTGAAGCTCTCCCGGGCTTGGCCACACAGGCCTTTCTCAGTTCCGAGTCCTATGTATCAGCACTTCCTTACTGTGGTTTTGATTTTACACTTATTTCTAGATTCCATAATTAACACGTCCCCCACCGCACCGCACACTCCACGAGGGCAGAGGTGGTGCGTTACTCTTGCTTCCCACTGTTACCTCCAACACCTGCTCTAGAACCCGACCGAAAACGTTTCTACATCAGACAAGTAAGTGAAAGGACACGGCCAGCGAAAGCTGACCCGTGACCCCAATCACACCGTCCTCCGAGGGCCCGTGTCTGGAGGAGGCAGGGAGCGCCAGGGAGCCGTAAGCACTGACCTCGGAGCCACCCAAGCAAAGGAGCAAAGCAGGAGACGGAGAGGTACCTCTCTGGTCTGACGTAGGAGTAGATGGTGTCCAAGGGAGGCAGAGGGTCAAAGCCCATCACAGACTGCGTGGTCACGTCCTTCAGAAAGGGAAACAGAACCGCCATGAGCCCCGGCTGTGCCCCCAGCAGACTTCCAGCTGATTCCAGCCTGGGCTGGCCTCTCCGCGAGGAGTCCGTCAGTCTGACAGAATCGGTCCTTGGCTGCGAGGCTGCATCTACTGGACTAAGAAACTGGGTGAAGGGCGGGGACGCTCACCCTGCCCTGCTCAGACGGCAGGGGTGCACGTGCGGCTCCAGGGCCCCCCGAGCCGCTCAGACAGCCAGGAGCACAGCCTCACCTCTTAAAACCCCAGCTGGGAAGGGAGGGGCCCAGCAGGTGACAAAGCTCCCATTTTCAGCCCCTCTCCCTTACCGGGGGGAGGGCGGCAACAGCTTCCTTGACCTCGGACAGGACCACGTGGCGGTGGATGTTTCTGGGCGCACGCTGGTAGAGCAGCTTTCGCCTAGGCACAGGGAGAAAAGGGACAGCACATGGAATGGAGCCCGCCCTGGCCCTGCAGCCACATTTGGGACAACCACCCTGAGCAGATGGGCTTCGTTCTCGTGAGGACCCATCAGGCCAAGCGCTGCCCTGTCCCCCCTGGCCTCCAGGCCCACCTGCTCTCACATGCTTCCACCGCGGGGTCCCCAGAGTCCACCGCCTGCAGAACCTCGCGGACGTTCTCCTCTAGCCAGCTCATGGTGGCGGGCTCCTTCCAGAGGAAGTGCGACCTTCCGAGGTAGAGGCTCACCAGCTGGCTCAGGGCAGGGGGCTGGCTGTGGGAGAGGGGGGCTTGTGAGCAGAGCCCGCCAGGGCACAGACTCCACGCACCCACTGGCACCTCTGGGGAGGGTGCAGGGGCCTGTCCAGCAGCCTGGGGGCCAAGGAGGTTGCCCAGAGGGGCTGCCGACTGGAGATGGGCCGTAGTAAGTGCGAGTTCTTTAGAAGAAACGTAAAACAGAGGAAAAGTGTACGTCTGCGCACACAGAGACGCTGGAGAGCCATGCTGGTTCACTAACGGGGCTCCCATGCTGCACGTTCACCTTCATTTTTCACAAGACAGTTGGGAAAGACAGTCCATGCGCGTACAGGTGTGTGATACGAAGCCCACCCAGCAGGTGCAGGTGCTGGCACAGGGGGCCTCACACCCCGCCCACTTCCCATCAGGAAGGCCTGAGCTCTGGGCCGCAAGCTGCTCTCGCACCCGCCAGCTCTGGGTCTGAGCGGTGAGGCAATGCCCACGAGGACCTGGGACCCAGCCCTCCTCGGCGGGACAACAGTCTGGCCGCCAAGGTCTCCTGCAGAGAGCGCCTGGCAGGACCTCCCAGGGCCAGCCAGCCTCATGAGCCTCGGGTCTGAGTGCAAATGGTTCCCGGGCTCTGCTCTGAGGGGCATCCCCGTGACCCAGCCGTGGGCGGGCCCTGTCCTGTCTTTACCTGATCTCGGCATCCGGTCCAAAGAAGCGGTGAGTGGCGACAGCAGGATCGGGCCGCATGCTGCAGTACTCGAGCAGAGGCAGGAGGACTGCAGGAGGAAGAGGGGCCCCCAAGGGCGGGGTGACACCAGGGTGAGGCCAGTCTACCTGCACCAGCCCCCAGTGGGGCTCTGCCACCTTAGACGTGGTCGTCTGCCCTGCCTCCCAGCGGCCCCGTGTGCATCTGAGGGGTCGCACCCACGACCCACCAGGCAAACACACAAGGCGTCCTAACCACTGAGCTCACACACGTTCCACCTGCAGGCTGCTGGGGGAGCCAGCCTGTGGGGCTCGGGCCTTGGGCGGAGACAGGCTCTGCCTACTTGTTAGAGCGCTCTCCCTCTGAGACCCGAGGCCTCGCCACAGCCACGTCACCTGGAGAACCGTGTCTCTGAGTGACCTTCCAGGGATGGGTGAAAGCAGGGCAGCTCAGCGTGCAGCAAGACCCCCAGGCTGCACAGAAACACCACCAGCAGTCGGCACACGGCTGCCAACACTCCTGACCCCGCACAAACAGCCAGAGCCCACCAGGGGCCTCGCCTCCTAACCTCACACACCTCAACGGGGAACGGTCAGTTCTCCGAAGACTTGGCCAGGCAGCCCTGTGTGTCAGGCTCAGACGTACAAGTCTGGTGGGAATCCTCAGTGACACAGGCCTCAATCCTGCCCTGGCCACCTCCTCAGACCTGCACCATCCTTGTCTACACCCCCTGCTCTGTTTTCTCCCCAGCACCTAGCACCACCTGATACACCATCCTTTTCAGCTCATTCCACTGCCTGTCTCCTTGCCCTGGGAGGTGAGCCCTAGAAGTGGGGGATCCTGGCTGCCTCCTCTGCCTGGCCTGGGACGCAGCAGGCTCACGGAGGTGAAGGGGTCACTGAGAGGGGGCTGTGGGGACAGTGTGCATGAGCCTCATGGCCTGTCCCTGGCACACAGCCCTCTGTGAAACCGCACGTGGCAGGAGGGCCCAACTCCACCAGGACCCTGATGGGGCAGCAGGCTCCCTCTGATCTCCTGTCACCACCAAGATCAGCCCACAGGACTCTGTCTCTGCGTGGACACCAGCCCACCACTCCAGGGAACACAGGGATGGTGGAAGGACCTCTGTGCAATCCCAGGACAACCCTGTCTCTAAATTCTCCAACTCAATGAGAAATGGGATTTGTGGACTGGGTCCCTCCTGCACAGTTCTGCTAACGTCCAGCAGCTCATATCCCTCTCTCTAGAAAACACCCGTCTTCAGAGACTAAATTTTTCTCAGTCAGTATCAAAACACTTATCCTAAAACCCCAAGACAGCTGGATACCAAAGTCAGTTGTGACTCATTTTCAGCTTCTGAATTGTGCATACGTGCATGCGGGGGTTTGCGAGGGTGCACCCACCTCCAGGGAACATGGTGAGCGCCTGTCGGATCAGGATAGAGGCCTGCTCCCTTGCAGAGCTGAGCTCCTGCTCGGGGAGGTCTGCTTGCTGACTCAGCAGGAAATAAGCCAACGGCACAGAGAAGGCGAAATTTGGGAGCTGAGACAGGTTCCGATGAGCCTGCAAGAGCCAGAGAAACAAAGTCTGGAAGTTCGACACGGCAAAGACAGAAGATGCACAATTCATAGACGCTCCGAAGTCTGAGCCCCAGTGATGAGCACAAGCGTGTTGGTCTCTCTCTACTTGGCATAAAGATAACTTCATGGCACGTCCAGGGGCTTTCTCTTGGCAGGAGACAAGTAACAAGGCCCCAGCTGTGGGGGGAGGTGGAGAATCGACAGAGACGGAAAAGGGGGAGGACCTGGGGGAGGTGGAGTCAGGTGGGGTCATAGAGACACCCTCAGGCTGCGGCCAGCTTTGGAAGCAAGCAGTCCGTGCTCTGTCACAGTGGGAAACTCAGAAAGCCCGGGTGGCAACGAGGAACGTCCCTCCCCTGCTGGGACCTGATCACATTGGCGAACACGGCTAAGCACTTTCCTGGCCTTTCTCTACGTGTACGTGACAGATAACACACGACGGGCCGGGTTTTCTCCACTGAAGTGGGGCTGTGGTCTCCACAGTTCGGTAAACGTTCCTCTGCAGCCCTGTTGTGGGGGGAGGGGTGCTCCCTGCAGCTCCATTTTGGGGGCTCCAGGAACTGTATAAACTAGGTCCCCAGTGGTGGGACTCCTTGGCCAACAAGCCAAGGAACAGAATTCAAAATGACTTATGTATGTAGTCATTTTTTCAATTACACACACCAGCCCCACCCCACTGCAGGTGGTCAGGTTCACACATCCCCAAGAGGGCACCATCCAACAGGAACACATGTTTTCCAGCAGCCGAATTAAAAATACAGATGAAACGAATGTTACTACTATTATATTTAACCCAAATACCTAAAACAGCATCACTTCTACACAGGATCACTCTGAAAGTCACCAGTGAGAGCATGCACTTTTTTTGTGTCCAGGCTCTGCCTCAACGTCAGACTGAAGGCAGACCCCGCCTGCATCTGTCCATGCGAGCCCACTTGAGGGACACGGGTGCGTGTGAGAGGACGCGGGCGCGTGCGAGCCCGCTTGAGGGACACGGGTGCGTGCGAGCCCGCTTGAGGGACACGGGTG